ACCCCCCCCCCCAGTTACTGCCTAACTCACCACCCTCTTTATTTTCTTAATACCACCCACCAAAATCTATACCGATTGTGCTTATAGATTTGAATACTTACCTTTCTCCCTGTACTGGAATTTAATCTGAACAAGAGCTTGTTTATCTTGTTCACAGTACATACCAGCTCCAAGCATAGTCCCTGTCACAGTAGGTGTGCAACAAATATTTTTTGGCTAAAAGAATCAGTGGAAACTCTTGGTGATGTCGTAGGTACTGGCTTGGGAGAGCTTGGAGCACTTGGACTTAAACAAGGGTCTCTCAACCAGTTTTTTTCTCCACAATTCTCAGATACAAAAAATAATTTTGTGAAAAATATATCTTCCTATGAAATACAAGGGGTCTTTAAGCTACATGTCAGTCTGTGAAGTGTTCCTGGACACCCTGCCCTTCGCTCAGCGTCCTGTGGGCTGTCTTCTCCAAGCCGGTGTCTCGCTGTGTGCTTGTGAGGAGCTTGGCACAGTTGGCCCTGTAGAAAAAGAAACATGCGGAGGTTTGTGGCCCCTCCTTCATCTTCCTGCCAGATGATAAGTTGTTGGAAGGCAAGGGCTGCTTTAGGCCACTTCTGTTCCCACAGTACTGAGCACAGTGCTTTGCACAGCACGAGTAACTGTTGGTTGACTTAAAACAAATAACATTTACTAAGTCCTTAAATTCTTATGTTCACAACAGTGACCTAAAACTTGACAACGTGATGCTGGATTCCGAGGGCCACATCAAGATCGCTGACTTTGGCATGTGCAAGGAGAACATCTGGGATGGGGTGACGACCAAAACATTCTGCGGGACTCCAGACTACATCGCCCCCGAGGTGAGAGCGGGCAGGACCTGGGGCCATGTGCCCTGCACACCGCAAGGCCCTGGGTGCCACGGCAGGGCGACCCTAGGCTGGCCCTTCTCAACTCTGTCAGTCCCTTGAGATCACACGTGCAGATTAGCTTAGCACACGTCCAGAAACTCAGGCCCAAAATACACCCAGGTTTGAGAGAAAGTTTAAATAAAACTCAACAGAACCACCCCCAACACATCAGTAAAATTCTTTGCAAGCTGCTATGGCTCGTGGCCATGTGGTACCTCCTCATTGTGACATTGAAATGCTTGCTAAGAGGGGGGGAAGAGAGAGGTCCCTGGCTGACATTATCCAAGGTGCACAATAGGGGTGCGGTAGTCGTGCTGAGCCCTGGAAGACTTGGGATCTCCCTCCTGTGACGAAGGTGCCAATGAACAGGTAAAGGTCAGATTCCACTGCCCTCCCTTCCCAGTTGCAGAATGTGTCTCCCCAGCACATCACGGAATAGACGTTTGTGCCAGAGGACAATTTCCCTTTTCTCTGAATTGGTGCCCTGAAAGGCTCCTTTCTGTACAGGCTGTTGCTGAGTTTTTAAGGAATGGAACTGAGGGTGTGGCACAGACTCTTGGAAGTGGACATCTAGAATTCCTCTCCTCTCGACTGTCATTCGATACGTAACAATGGTGACAGGAGGCCCCATGTAACGAGATAATGTGGCACAGTATTTAAAACCTGCGATCTCTTTTACCAAAGCAGGTCCTCTCCTAGGAACCTAGTGCACAATGTGCATGTGCACACACACACGGGTGGAAGGATGTGTATTAAAATCCTTTCTGCCCGGGCATGGCTCAGCGGTTAGAGAGTTGGCCCTCAGGTCACGGGTTCAATTCCTGGTCAAGGGCACCTACCTGGGTTGCAGGTTCAATCCCTGGCCCCATCGGGGCGTATGCAGGAGGCAGCCAATCAATGTGTCTCTCTCACATCGATGTTTCTTTCTCCCTCTTCCCACCTCCCTCCCACTCTCTCTGAAAATCAATGGAAAAAATATCCTCAGGTGAGGATTTAGAAAAAAACAACAATGCCCGGCCGGGCGTGGCTCAGTGGTCGAGCATGGACCTAGGATCCAGGCCATCGGGGTTCGATTCCCGGTCAGGGCACATGCCCGGGTTGCGGGCTCGATCCCCAGTTGGGGGCGTGCAGGAGGCGGCCAATCAGTGACTCTTTCATCATTGATGTTTCTCTCTCTCTCTCTCTCTGAAATCAATAAAGATCTTTAAAAAAAAAACACCAAAAAAACAACAACCAACAAACCCTTTCTTCACTGCAGCACCGTTTTTGGCAGGTGACCTCCGTGACTGTCGGTGAGGAGATGGGTAGCTACCACACGCCACATTCCTGAGCCTCTAGGAAGCTCGGGCTACACCTGTGCGTAGGAACTCGAACGATGGCTCCCGGTCAGCGAAGGGCAATAGCCTGAATTAGTTACAGTGTGGAATACTACTGGGCAGTAATTCAAAACCTGAGTTACCGATGTATGTAGACCTGGAAAGATCTCCGAGACACCGTTGGGAGGAAATGTGAAGGCGCAGACGGGTGGGTGCAGTGGGATCCCGGCTGCGGGAGGGAGCGCGCAGGACGCCCCGCGGTTCCTGTGGCGGGTGTGGCTGCCGAGCTCGGACACCCGGCGGGCAGGGCCTCCAGCAGGGCTGCCTCCGCGGCCCAGAAACCACGCTCAGCCGGTATCCTGTTTAAGTTTTCACATTGTTCACGCATCTAGTGCTACTTGAGTCATTAAAAAGCCATCCGTAAAGAGAATAACCCTCTTGAGGCCCCATGCAGGGCTCCCTATGTGCATCCCTGGCTCTGTCGTTTCGCCGGTGCGTTGGGATGGCAGACGCGCTGCTGAGCCGCCAGGGTTCAGCCCCTGCCCGTCACCCGGGGCGCTGAGTGTGAGATGCCAGCCTGCGCCCGCTGCAGCGTTGGTGCTTCCCCAGTTTTGGGGTGGCCCTGAGGCCGTGCGCCCGAGGTGCCCTGGAGCGCTCCTGCCCATGTGGCCCGCAGCCCACGCGGGAGGAAGCTGGGTCCGCCTCCCTCCCGTGCGCCATCCGCAGCCACGGGCCGCCCGCCAAGTCCTGGGGCTTACTTTCCCGTGTGAGAGGATTAAGCCGTTAGGTTGTCCTGAGGACCCCATGGCGTGAGGTGCCTTAAAAGTGTGAAAACACTGTCGGGGAGAAGAGGCCTCGCAGAGCCCTCCGCCCGCCCGCCCGCTCGCCCCGGAGCACGTTCTGCCTGAGCGGGCCGAGCGAGAGGGCCCGCGGCAGCCGGGCCCAGTACTGAGCACAGCCGCCGCCCAGCAGAGAGCTTTCTAGCACTAGCGGGCATCTGGAGGGCACATAGCTCCCTTCCCTCCTCCAAAACCCTGACACAGGTGTTATTATAAACTTCGTTCAGTAGGTGAGGAAACCGAGACTTCAAGTTAGGTGGCTCCTTCCAAGGCCACACGCAGGGACCCACAGTCCGGACCCTCAGACCTTGACCTTTCACCTTCGCTCTATCTCCTCTTAACCCCTTTGATAGATAGTTTTACCCCCGGCACACTGAGATAGGGTGGTCACGGCTATTCTAGGCTTCACCGCGCCCTACCAAGTTGTTAGTATCAAAAACCTGAAAACTGTCTATATCGTTCGCTCCACCAAATTCTACTTCTAGGAATTTATCTTTTTTTAAAAAGAAAGTATCACTTTATTTGTACACTTAAAAAGTTGTACGTAGAAACTTACAACACAGCTCTGTAAAACTAGAACTGCCAGAGAAAAGAGAGGGCGCTTCCTTCCCTACCGCTTTCCATCTTAGGAATTCATCTTAAGAAAATAATTGGACAGATGTAGAAACGCTTCTGTACAGGGATCAGCACTGTAGCAGCTGAAGAAACCTGGGCAATGGGGAGCTGATAAAACAGATTTTGTATGTAAAGTTAAACCGGATTATGTTGACATACAGATGTTAACATGGAAATGTTAAGTGAATGAAGTACTTTGTTAATATTCCAGACATCAAAGAGTTTTTGCTTATGTAAAACACATACACACAGAGTTTAATACGTGTCAATAGAAAAGACTCTAGAAGGAAACAGACCAAGTGTCAGTCATAAGCGTTCTCTTGATAAAGAAATATGGGTGATTTAAATTGTGTTCGCTTAGCTTTTCTATATTTTAAAATAAATAATAAATGCTATTACATTTTCAACTTAAAATTCTTTTAATTTTGGTAAATAAAAACAAAATTTGACATCTTAACCGTTTCCAAATGTATAGTCACATTGTTGTATAAATGTTATTATTTTATAATGAGAAACAAGGACAGTTTTTCATCTTAAAAGTTCACACTCACTCTATTATAACGAAAAAGAACACGTCACGCCTGACACGCAAGGTGTTCCCGCCTGCAGGGCCCCGTAAGGACCCCGTCTTCCTGCGGGGGGGGGGGGAAGCAGCTTGGGTGGCCCCGGGCCCCTTCCGCTGTCTCCCCAGTGGCCGCACCTGGGACCGTGACAGTCAGTTGAACCTTTCACCGTAGGCAGGTGGCCGCCGAGGAAGACTTCTCCCTCTCCCCGTGACCGTCCCCTCTCAGTGCGGAGGGCGCCGTCGGCCTCTGGCTGTGACGGACCCCGCGCACCCCTGACCAACTGCCTTCTGTCTTCCAGATCATTGCGTATCAGCCCTACGGGAAGTCGGTGGACTGGTGGGCATTCGGAGTCCTGCTGTATGAGATGCTGGCCGGGCAGGTAACTGAATTAAGTGATTTGTAGGGAAAGTCCTCCCCACCCCCACCCGTGTGGTTTCTTTAGAAGAAGGTGTCAGCTGGGTCCCTCTCATACACCTGAACCTCTCACTTCCCCGGCCCTGGGGCGACCCTAGTGTGCTGGCCGCTTTTCCCCGTTGCCCCGCTGGCAGCCCTGGAGCGCAGCCTCCCCGTGGGCCCAGGGAGGGCCTGCTGGCCGGGGTGCTTGGGAGGCTCAGGCAGGAACCCCTCCACTGTACCCTCGGTCCCACAGGCGCCCTTCGAAGGGGAAGATGAAGACGAGCTCTTCCAGTCCATCATGGAGCACAACGTGGCGTATCCGAAGTCCATGTCCAAGGAGGCCGTGGCCATCTGCAAAGGGGTGAGTGAGCTCCTCAACGCTCGGGGCCGGGCCCTGCACACACGGGGTGCAGGGGTGCCCTGCACTGCGATGCCCACCGGGGAGGAGGGATGAGACTGGCTCCACCTCTCACCCTACTTGCCAACCCCACGCCTGGCTCTGACCTGCTGCCCCCAGAGGAAAGGGCACTTTTCCACCCGGGAGGCCCCCCCTCCCCCAACAGCATCCTGCTGCGGGCAGGCTCCAGCCTCTGGCCCAGTGCCGGGGATGCTCGCTGACTGGACTGAATGAGGTAGGAAGCCCGAGACTTTGCCAAAGAGCTGGAACCCCCGGGAAAATGTGAGAGGTCTGCGGCACAATCGGGGGCCGCACCGGCCCTGCCCTGTGTGTGTGGTTAATACCAAGAGCGTGTGGCTTTTGTTTGAAGAAAATATCAGGCAGTATTGCTTTTGAGGGATTCTCTAGATAAGCTGACCCAAATTCAGTTCCCTAAGCCCCCACCCAACACACAAGGGGCTGAAAGCAGGCACATTTGTGTGCAGGCGGCTTGTGCAAATCGCACCTGCGAAGAAGGCAGGACGCCTGTTTTCTAAGGATTGCTTGTTATGCATCTGGTGCCAGGCCAGGACGTGCTCACAGGGACCCGGGAGTGCCATTGGGATGACCCATGTGCTTCTGTATTTTGAAAAGGTCCCCATGTGGTTCGAAAATCATGCACCTTTAAACATTGTCCAAAGGTGGTAACTTATCAACTGTGACAAACGTGTGAAAGCAACACAGTGAGACCCCGGACAGTGTGGCCCAGAAATGCCGCCTTTTAGAGTGTTTGCTCTCCCAGCAGTGAGTGGTGCAGGCATGTTCTTGAGGTTGGAGCGTAGCTGTGCCTTCTAGTGGGTTCCCATCTGTGTGTCTGAATAAAGCAGGCCGAGGTCCTAGGTCCCTGGGCGTTTGCAGACTGCCCATTGCCCACCCCCACCCTGCTCTTCCTGAGCCTCCAGGTGCCCTGCGAGCTGGCCAGCCTCGGCCAAAAGCACCTGTCGCACCCGGAAATCCTGCTCCTCGTGAATCACCTGAGCTCGGCGGTTCAGCCGCAGATACCCCGAGGAAACTGTGTGTGAATTAGGCTCAGTCTCTAACATCTTAAAGTGAATTGGTAGAAACTATTTTCTTGGAGGGTGTGGAGCAGAGGCAGAGAATTGAGGCCTGCGGGTCCATTAGGAGCTGAGGGAGCACACGGGGAGGAAGGCGGTGCGGGCCCCGTGGATGTGCGGCGGGAGGGGGAAGCAGGCCCGAGCTATCAGCTTGCTTGGTGGCTGCCAGCATCTACAGGCGGGGGATTTCCCCGCAACATCCAGCGTCCTGGTTTCTCTCAAAGAAACGCGGTCTCGCCATGCTGATCTGGCATCATTCCTGCAAAGCATCAGCCGCTGGCTGGGAAGCTAGTGCCCTTTTAGACAGAACATGCCCTCTCCAGTTTGCCAATGCCCTCACCTGGCCCAGTTCCATCAGAGCTCAAATCCTGATCCCACGTGTTGGCCTTTGACTGCAGGGAGGTGGTTTGACCTCATCTGTAGATCAGGGGTGGTGACGGGACCACACACAGGGTTCTTGTGGCTCAGAGTTAGTACAGGTGGACCCGTTAGCACAGAGCCTGGCGCTCTGCCCCTAAACCTGGAGCTGTTGTTACAGTGTTACCAGTGCCTGTGCCACTCTGTTATATGCCAGGCTCCTCTTGGCATTCGAGTCTGCATCCTCCAATTTCTGCGACAGGAATTTTAAAAGTGGGGGATTTGGGAGATCAAGAGTCCATTGCAAATCTCCACCTTAAGTGAATTGGTTAAAACTTCCTGGGTGCATCGTCTTGAGCAAGTTACTTTGCACCTCTGGGATTTTGTTTCTTTACCTCTAAAAATAATGTAATAGTTTTCGTTGAACAGAGTTTTTGAGAGCGCTAAATAATGTAACCTAAGAGAAAGCTCCTTGAGTGGTATTGGCACATAGTAGGTGCTGAACACATGCTCAAGACCTTCCCGGCCACGACTCTGCCCGGCCTGGACAGCTGGGACTGTAAGTGGGTCATGGAGGAGAGGAGTTTCCAGGTCAGCTGCATTCAGCTTCAGCTCCAATTAGCCGTTTCCCCGGTAGAGCAGATTTCTGTTAATTGAGGACCCATAACCTTCAGGGTTAACTGGGGTGACTTTCCAATACTAGGCTTGGGGACCTTCCTGAGTTGAGTGATCCGAGTCCAGTAAGGGCTCTTTCTTCAAGGTTGAGCCTCCAAAGAAGGGGTGAAGCTCAACTGAGCATCCACAGGCTTCTTCCTGAGCAACAGCCCCAGGGACC